GCGATGCCACCAATCCGACCCACATCCATGGACGCTGCTTGATCACAGAAAATATGTGGCACTCAAATTGCTGTCCATATTGCAGACCTGCATTCTTTCTCACTGGTTGATTGTCCATGCACTGCTGTAGTGTTATCATAAAATGCCGATTCGCTGAAGCAATCCACAGGCCATGAGAAATGTTCCTCTGCATTTCCAACCGCATGAGATGCGATGCAAATCCCTGCCTGACACACGCAACTTGCTAACGCATGTGAAGCAGCATTGCTTGATGTAGCTGGGGCTACAGCATCCATTAATCCTTTACCTCCACGGGGATTGACCATTCCGAAGCAGCAGCAAACCAGATTTATTTGGTGGCATTTTGCAAAAGTCCTTACTTGCCAGCCAACTTAACTCTCCTCAATTCCTCCAAGCCTTCTCTTTTAAATCCATATTTTTTCCATGCCAACCGGACAGGTCGTTACCACTCTGAGCGTGGATCAGGGATTTTTCCCGCCTGGCGTGATGCCATTCCACGAGCCCGCAGCCCGACTCCATCTATCACAGACCTTCTTCATGCCTCGCATCAAGGCACCGCTTCTCCACCAGATCCCCATCTGGCCCATCATTGTTGGCCTCGTCTGTGGCCTCATCCTGTTCGCGTTGCTTGTCATCTTGCTCTATCGCCTCGGCTTCTTCCGCCGGCGACGCCCGGCCCAGCTGCGGGCCGAGCTCACTCGCAACGGGGCTCGTGGGCAATCGGATCGTCCGCAGTCGGACCAGGGCCTGTTGGACGCGAACGCGTCGGTGGCCTCGGCACCGGACGGCGGTCGGGACTCCAATTCACTGGGTCAACTTGCCGCCGTCGGCGAATCCGGTTCGGCCGGTCGTGGCAGCGCCAGAGGCGATGAGGCCGGTGCAGGTCGCAGAATTACCCACGCCGGATTCGGTGGCCGGTCCGACCCGAAGGAGGTGCTGCGCGAACGGAAGCGAAAGCGCCGCAGAGAGATGCACATCGTGCACCCTGGAGAAGCGCCTGGTACCACCGTGCAGGCGAGCAATGCCACCGCCTCTGCAAGGCCGCACTCTTATTCGGTTGAGCAACATCTGCTTTCAGAGGGTCGAGGTTCGCCGACTAGCCTATAGGTATTTCCATCCAGCAGGACGATACTACTTATAATTACATACAAGTAGTCTGGATCGATCGAGTATAATCAACTTGGGCATTAAATCGACCGTGTTGCTCTTAGATCTCTTTTATTTTTTACACTTTCATATCCTATACCTGTTTTGTGCGTTTCCATATATACATAACCCGGCATATATATGTATATATAATTATATATATATAAAGTCAATCATGAATGCTGAGTAAGCTATGATGAAAAAAGTAGGCGAGCATTGGCCAAAGTAATTTGCGCTCTGTGATTTTATTTTTGCTTCATTTGTAATGGCTCTACAGCACACCCTATTACTAATATTCTTCATTACATATTTCGTTCATTTTATCTACTCTCCTTTTGAGCCAATATATTGAAAACTGGTTTGATGAAACATTTCTTCCAACTGTAGCTATCTTCTAAGCACCTCTACTAGCACTCCCTACATGCCTCAGTGACTGTGTACGCGGCTCATGACGATTGTCTAACATTTTGTACTTATTTCACTACCTGTATTTTAATCAGATTCCTTTCATTCGTAGACTTTGCCCTCAAAGACAGCTTTTTATTCTTTACTTCCTCAAACTTACTTGCAGATGAGTTAA